TGAAAACATTTCTCATTCATGGTTTAAAAGACAACTATAAATATGGATTGGAAATTATCTCCTTAAAGTATGTTTACTAAATTATAAACTAAGACCCCTGCATTTTTAAAAGAAAATAATTCTGCTGCTAGTTTATGCATTTAATTACGCAAGTGTGTATGTTGGGCTTGCAGGGATGGAAATTTAATAGACAAAATATTAGCTATTCATGTAAAAATTCTGAAAAATTTTATTTTTGTCTCGCTATTAGTAATGTCATGTCCATGCAAGTAATGTTAAAGTGCTCTGATCTGACTTTCATCTTAATTTGATGTTATAAATTTTGAGTTGTAAAAGTGACCTTACATTTCATGTAATTCAATTCTTAGAGACTATTGTTATTAGTTTCTTGGCTTCAAATCTTGTTTCCCACAATATTACACTGTTAGATGTAATACCCTCCTGGAATACTCTGCTTGCTATGTATTAATGTCTAATTATTCCAAATACTATCTATAACATGAAATTTAATTGTTGGAAAGCAGACTGTTATGGTAGAAAATACAAATACCACCCAATCAAAGATTTACTGAAAAATTTTTAAAAAGTAACATTTTCTGACCAATAAAATGGATTATCTATCTCATTAGAGCATATGTTGAGAAACAGAAAAACATTTAGTCATTGAGGAAACAAAGGGCTTAACAGTAACTCCATGCTTTAGTAATTTCAACCTCTTTAAATTACCTAATAACTAGTTTAGCCAATTTACACCCATTACTTGGGAACTTTGAGAATTTCACTAACAATATCTGAGTTAGTTATGACAAAGCCATAGCCGACCATTGGGTGTTTAAACTACCAAAAAACACACTGGTACTAAATATGTCCACTGAAGTAAAGTTATTTGGATTCACAATTGAATCAGATTAGCTACAAAATGTATCAAACTGAACAGAAATTAGCACATAGTTATTATATGATACTATTTCATATTTTACTTAACAAAACATTTTAGATATAATAATTTAGTCATGTAGGATATTTTAATTATATAAAATAGTTTTTTTTTAATAAATAAAAATACCTGGACTAAAATGTGTGGACTCTACTATAGGATAATTACACAGTTTCAAATTTTTCCGCTATTTTGTAATTCTGTTATTTCACGAAAGTGGCAATAAGTTCTATGTATGCATACTTAATAGTATTAAAACACTAATATTATTATAAGAGAAATGTTAAACAAGACATTGATTTAAAAAAGAAAAGTGCACAATTAATGTCACAAAATCTGGTAAAAGAAATTATTGTTCGTGATAATATTAACCCTTTTCCCCTATCTTTCTTTTCTTGAAAGCAAAAACTACTTCTTTGATAATGCTATAGAGTGGCCATTTATCATCTGTATTTGAAGCACTTTCATTTTTCACCATATATTGACTTTTTCTATCGATATGCTACTGCTGGGCATTTTTCCTTCCTGAATTCTTCTGCCAAGAAAAAAAAATGGAGTTAGAGGTAAAAAGGGAATAAGACATAAAAGTGAATAAATATATGCCTTAGCTTGCTGCTTTCTTCTTGTTAAACCTTTTGATTCATGCATCTGGAGGTTACTACTAAGTAATTGAATATTAAGTTTTACTCAAACTTAATAACAAGGGATTATTAGCTTTATAGTAAAATTGTAAAAATATATACAATAGTATATTAATTAAAGTTTCTGTAATCTATTTCACCTATAGAAATAACATAAACCAAAGCTAAGATTCCCAGAGGCAATTTCTAAACTTCTTATCATATAATATATTTTATTTAATTTTCTAAATTATTATTTGATTTCTCACATAGCTAAACTTAAAAAAAAATATCAGTTATTCACTTGTTCAGATAAAAAACTGGCTTGATTAATTCTTTTTAGAATGCTTAGTCAGGAGACTCTAAATGAAATGATTAAATAGGCATTATTCCCATTTTACAGAAAAAGACATAAAAATAAAACTAGAAAGGTAATTAAATTACCTCTTTCATTTAAAACATTGTTTTAAGATTTTCAACTATTTGCATAATAGCTACTCACATGGATGTGACTACTGCACTTTTCCAAATGGCTAAAAACCTAAATTACTTTTAAAAAAGAAACACAAAATATTCTAGTGACATTCTTTAAATCTTGTCAATGATATACTATTCTTCTATGATTACAGTTATGTGTATATTTCACCTTTGTCGGCCACAGACTACTTGATGTTGGAGCTATCTTACTTTCTTTTCCCAAGAGAGCTTCTACAGTAATTTTCATGGAGCAAATGCCCAATTAATATTGCCAATTGAATATATAATATAAGTCATATATATAAGTCATATATAAGTCATATATACTTTTGACATACTCAAAAGTCTTTAGACTATTAGATAATTCTCCTCCAGTAAGCTTTGTGCCAACTTTAGACATAAAATATACTTATATTTCAAGTATATAATATTATATATACTTATCAAGTAAATTAAAGAAGAGTCATTAATTGGATAATTGAAATCTAAGCCAATAAACTGAAATTGCTGGCCAATTGAGGCAAAATGGTTATACTGACCTTAAATAATCTAAAATGATTTCTTCAGTGATCTAGTTCATTTAAAAAATATAGTTCTTAAACACTGAATTTGTTATTATCTTAACTATTCAATTGCTTCTGAAATCCAAACAAATTTTGATAAATCTCCACATAGTCAATATTGATTCATGTTTCAGTATTTTTCTGTAACATATGCTTTCATGGAACCATTTAGCAGCACTTCTTTTTAACATCAAGAAAAAAGGCCTGCATGTCCTATATATTATTTTTTATAATAATATTTTGACAAGACTACAGATGAAAAAATGTGTCAGGGGATTATATGAAACGTATTTAGTTCAGCCTTATCTATGGTTCAGGGCCACATTAAAGCAAATCATATAACTTAAAAATCTTGAGTATGCATGTACTGTATCTGTTGATATCATACAGGGTTCCTCTTTTAAAAATGAAATAATATATACCATTTGAAAGTGATTCAAATATGAGAAAAAATGAACCAAAACTTAATATATGTTAAAATTAAATCTTTAGCACATTTTATATTTCCATTTTTCTTCAAATATACAAATAAATAATAGTATTTATAAATTAGCTAGCAGAAATGCTGAATTAGAAAACACTATTTTTAATATTATACCAGTACATTATAAACACAACCTCAATGTTCAACCTTGCCAATTCATTCATCTCTCAGTATATTTGTAATAACATTTATGAGAAGCCTGGAAAAGCTAAATTAAGGAACTGTCCTAGGAATCACCAATATAATGCTAACATTTGTTAAAATTGTTGACAATTCTAATTGTATCAAGTATAAATACTGTTAAGAAAAAGAATCTTGTTACATTAACGTTAGATCAGCTATTTCAGTTTCCTCTCATGTAAGCATGTATAAACGGTTAAACAATAAATTTCTATGGTAACAACTTACATTCTAGCATATTCTTAGTTACAACAGCAGCCACAGAAGTTACTACTTTCTTTAAAGCAATGTAACTAAACAAGATATCTCTCCTTCCTCCTTTTTCCATTGGGCACAATTAAAATATCTTCTACTTTGGTAAATTAAAGAATGATTTAACTAGAAACAAGATATCTCAACTAATACACATAATGTTATAGAGCATTTTACGTAAAGACAAAATGAAGATGCTAAGTACATTTAAGTGACAATTACATAATGTGACCATATGTTGAATGTATCCTGCAAACTAAACTAATATATATGTGTATAAAACTAATCCATATTAAACATATATATAATTGTAACACAGATATCTTATCAAAATGAATAAAATACTGCTAGTCTAAATAACAAACGCTCTTATATATAAAATCATTAGATATCTTATATACATAGATGTTTAAACATATATTATTATTTATTAAATGATCGATACAACAAAAATTGTTAGAATTATTGTTATAAATAATTTAGATTTAATATTTGAATGTTGACAATACATAATCTTATATAGTACATTCATCTTTTTTCTTATATGTTTTGTCTTCTTATATACTACTCTTGGAGAACACACTGAAGTTATCTCCACTGAATGAAGGGCAAGTTTCTTTTGTTGCAAGAAACACTGGAAATATAAAGGGCCACCAATACATACTTAGCTAAGAAGATTCAACATGGGTCCCCATATTTGTCACAGTATTTTTATAGCCATTTTTTCTAAAAATTGCCTTCTTAAGATGTTGATCAGATAAATGCATATAACTAATTCACTCAAAGAATAAGATTTTGGAGTACTAAGAAAATTGGATTTAAATCCCACTCCACTATTTACTGTGTCTGAACTGAGTTATTGCTTACTCTTCTTAAAGTAAGTTGAGGAAAGCCTTACTTCTCATCTGTATAATGGGAATAGCAGTATCTTACTAAAGTACCCTGTAGTTGTGAAGGCTAAATTAAATAATTATATAAACCACTCAGTACATGCCTGGCACACAATGACCACTCAAAAATCTTGGCTTCTATATTGTAATTTCTTTAATTAGGATGAAGAAAGTTCTTGCCCCTGTGCACACTTTCTATGAGAACTTCTAAGCTTTTCCACCTAGACTAGCCATGTGTCAGTTTCAAAATTACTATCAAGCCTCACTAGAAACCTTTCATTAAATGTCACTTTCCACCAGAGGTGTTTCTACATCTTCCATTTTTTTTAAATTTTCCTTCTTAAAGTCATAATATTGTTGAATATATGACTCTTCTTCTCTTCCAATTTTTTTATCACAAATAAATCTGTTGGTTGCTTACCAGGAACCCAGTTGTACTTTGCGTAAAAAGAATGAAGCCTTCATATGAAAAATTAATATCTAAAAAAACCATAATATTTGTCCAAGGATAGTAGGTTATAATTTTACTGTCATGAAATGCAGTCCACAAACGAAAGAATCAAGAGAGAAAATGATGAATGGCCTTAGGAATAGTCATGGTTTGTAATAAAGATTTTATTAAAAAAGTGTTAAAATAAATAATACATATTCCAGAATATCACTGTTCTGGGAAATTACTTTCCTTTAGAATATGAGTTCTAGAAGGCAAATCTACTTACAACTGCTCTGAGGGCTTTCATTAGCTGATTTATAATCCTATATTAAAAAAAAAAATCTGTGGTCTGCAGTCTTTTGACATACTTCTCAAGGGAGGATATGTGGTGAATTGCAGACCCCATCAATAAGTGTGGTTTTGTTTGCTTTTTGTAGCCAAACTGTTGATAAAATAGACTTGTTTAGAAATCCCAGAGGAATGTGATTGAGGCCAGAGTTACACTGGTTCATAAAATTCAAACAGTTCAATGCTTTTCTTGTTAATTACTGGGCCACAACCAGAAGCCCTGATGATGGGAGAGAAACACTTCTTTAGGATAATGATTGATTTCCATAAAGATGAGTGCTTTAACAAATTTCAATATGCAGTTGCTGGGGCGGGGAAGGTGGGTGGGCACTAATTAGTTTTACCGGTTTCAGCAGATGTTGAATTCAAAATGCCAGCAGCATCTCAAATGCCAGTCATTAGGGCTGTCTTTCATGGTGGAGTGCTGACCAATGAAATCTCCACTCTGTTTAATGAGACCGATCTAGGAAGAGTCAATTAAATCAAATCTTTCCTAACATCCCTAATGTATCTGCAGTGTGGGAAGCACCAACAAAAACAGCAGCCAGGGATTTCTAGTAATAATAAAGGGAGTCACTGCTGCATTACAATAGGGGGAGGGGAGGGGAGTATGTTGGGGGAAGACCTTAGTTTTTGGGCAGGGAAAAGCTGGTAAAGTCTGAGCAGGCGGGTAGGGGGGAGGAGCTACGGAAAGGTTAAAATGCTAAGTAAGGCGATTAGAGAAATAGCCTTATTGTAGCTCAAGAAGGAATCCACCCCCAATCTTTCCCCTCCCCCTTCCCTTCCACCGCAAATCCAATTTACCAGTTGCGAATATGAAGCTGGAAAAATGTAAGGACCCAGAGTCGAAAACATTTTCACTTTAATACTGAAAAAATATGCCATTATAAAATCCTCAAATAGAATTAGTAAGTTTCACGTGCTTCCTCGGTTCTTTTTTCCTACTTTATAAGTAAGATTTATACCAGCACAGAATTGCTACCATAGGATCGCAGCCTAAGCACTAGAGTGACATTAATTGGTCATGCTTAACTGCCTCGAAATCTTTTTTTTTAAATAATTACATCGATACTATAATAGAAATCATGGGTACTTATTTTACATTCAGATGGAAGGCATTATTGGATATGTATAGAAAAATATTCCCCCTCAAAAAATAAAATAAAACATCACCATCAAAATAAAAGAATCCAAAACAACCCCTAAAAACTTCCCTCAACAAAATACATTGTTAACTGATAAAATGGACTGATGACTAGCCATGCAAACGTCTTAAATAAAACCTTTACATTTTTTTTCTCACAGTAAACGTATGCTCTGAACTGCCTACCGATCACAAATAATGGTGAAATGGCACTTTCTGATTATACTGTATTTTGTTTATAGAAAGTTTGATACGATGGGACTTATCAGGTAAGAGGGTGGGTGCTGTGAATGAGATGCCATCTCCAGTCGCGGGGGCGGGCAGAGTCCCTGGAGTGCGTGGATTCCATGCGAGCCATGCAGCACTTTTTTTTTTGTCAGAAGTCAAAGTTATTTATTTACAATACATTCATGCCTTCGTGCAACTGCCCATCCCTGCATAGCAAACAGGGAGCCATCACGGGGCTAATCCACAGGGGAAAAATAGATATCTATCTCTCTATATAGATGTAGATATATGTATATATGTATAGGACCGCAGCATCCATCCCCCCAGGCCCCTCCGCGGAGGGTGAGAGCACTGTCAATTCTTTCAGCATTTCCATGCTGGGCTTTCCGTCAAAAGGGACTCCAAGCACAGAGCGAGCTGGCTGCTCTCTCCAGCTCGCCACAGTCTGCTCTTTGTTTCCAGAAGGGAGCTAAGGGGTCAGACCCTCTCAGTTGAGCGAGTTCATAGTTATTTATTTACATATGCCCATCAGGGCTTGTGGCACGCTGGCTACGGGTCAGAGCTCCTCCAACCCCCGGAGGAGGACGTATCTCTCGCCTTCCCGCTCCCCTCCCCTATCCGGGTAGGGGTCTTAGTCCGAGAGCGAGTGAGAGCCACAGTCATACACTCTGTGGGCCCCATCTGCGTTGTAAGGCCCATTGTGCCAGTAGGAAGAGTCACAGACTGTCTGTAGGGAATTAATTTCGGACGCGGAGGAGTTGGCATCCCTTCTCTTGGACCGCTTTCGGTTCCTCAGGATAAACACGAGCATGCCCACCACGGTGAAGGCGGAGGTGACAAACACCAGCAGCAGTCCCGGGACCAACACGGAGATGGACACCCTGCTGGTGTCTAGGTAGGAGTTGGAGTGCGTCCCGGTCTCCGCCAACCCAGTGCTGTTTTTACTGTGCGAAGTTAACGTGGGCGAGATCCTAGCGTACAGCTGGGGGCAGATCTCGTCATTGGAGAGGAGCATGAAATCCTTTCTAAAGAAGTTCACTGGCGTCTCACACTTGAGGTCGCTCATCAGCACTTCGGAACCTAGGCGTTCTGCCCATTGCTTGAAAGGCACAATGGTGCAGGAGCACTCCCAGGGGTTTCCGTGCAGATCTATCTGGATGATGGAAGTTAACTGGTCCAGCACCCCTGCCACCGGGAGGTACATGAAGTAATTGTTGTGCAGGCTGAGCTTAGAGAGCGAGACCCCAGCAAACACGTCCACAGGGAGGGACCTCAGCAAGTTATTGTTGAGAATGAGAATCCTCAGTTTGGGCATGGCATTGAAAGTGCCAGGGAGGATGAGCTGGATCGCGTTGTACTCCACGTTCAGGTACTCCAGGTTCTGGAGCCCCGCGAATTTCTCCCGAGACAGCGTGTCCAGGTAATTGCTATCCATGTACAGCCACCTGAGGTCCAAAAGGTTCTTGAAAGTGTTGTTCTCCATGGTGGCGATGTTATTGTTGCCCAGATCCAACAGAATGAGGTTCTTGTAATCCACAAAGTGCGATTTTCGGATGCTATGGATCTTGTTATCTCGAAGGAAAAGCTCCTGCACGTTGGAGAGCTTGGGCTTCAAATCAGCCAAGCTGCTCACGTTCCGGTTGTTGCAGTTCATTTTTAAACCCGACCCTGGGATGTGGTCGCAGCTGCAGCCCCCAGGGCAGGGCAAACTGTTGGCTGGGGCTTTGTTTCTGGCGCTACCCGTCGCTATCGCTACCGTGGGTCTGACTTTGATTTGCCAGTTGCCTGGTATCTTTGTACCTCCGTTTGGAGCAGACCCTGGGGTGGCATGATCCTCTTGCCCATTTGTCTTGAACGGAGTTGGCAGGGGGCCAGGAGCGAAAGTCTCTTCTTGGGCAGGGGGCGCCGGGAGACTAGAATCCACTCGATTTTTCAAAGGACACAAGTCCTGTTCTGTGGTTTCATTGAGGTCTTTACCCTGCAGTCTGGTGGGGGCTTCACAGACCACTCGGCCGATCAGGGCATTCTTGGGAATGTTTTCGAGCCATTCTTTCAGAGAGAGCAGATCACAGGTGCAGTCCCAAGGGTTATCCTCTAGCAGGATCTCAGCAATACCAGGGATTTGCTCCAAGACCTCTTCATAGGGCAGCGTTTTCAGCCTGTTTCCCCGGAGGTCGAGGTGGGTGATGGGCACATACTGGAACACGTTGGCAGGTAGGGTGCTGATGAGATTGTCATTTAAAATGAGTACCTCCAGCTTGTTCAAGTCTTGGAAAGCCCCTGGGTCTATATCGCGTAATAAATTAAAATCAGCCTGGAGGTATTCCAGATCGTCCAGCCCCAGAAAAGTCTGCTTTCGAAAAGACTTGATCTTGTTGTTGTTGATGTGCAGCCTTTTCACCAGCTGCAGCCCCAAAAAAGCCCCCGGAACGATTTCATGCAAGCCATTGTTTTCCATGTGCAAACTAACCGCATTATAAAAGTTAGCGAACTCATTAGGGAAAAGTCGAGTGAGGGAATTGCCATGCAGAAATAAATGGTAAAACTGGGAAGTCGGGGCGGTGAAACGCTGCAGACTTGTAAAGCCCTTTTTTTCACAGTCTACGTGTAGGTCCCCTTCTATCTCATTGCAGGAACAGATCTTCTCTTTGCAAACGTCCCCTGTAACGTTTCCAGCGGCAAAACAAAGAGACGTCTCCAGCAACAGAATCCAAAGCAGCATTTTTAAAGCGAACAATTCATCCCCGATCTCATCACAAAGTAACAGCGACCATCCTGCTCGCCACAGACACAATTCAAGTTCATTTAGTGCTCCAATGTCCGAACCCAGGGAAGGAGAAGAAAAGGGATTGGGGGGGTGGGGATGGATTCCTTCCTCCCTAACCCCCCCGCACTGCAATAGCCCAGACGCCAGTCAATAATTATATCCACAAACTATCCAGGCACGTAGTGCAAGGCAAGCAAAAAGAAAAAAAAAAAAAAAAAAAGAGAGAGAGAGAGAAAAAAAAAAAAAACACTCCCCCTCAACCCTTTAAATACAACCAAAAAGAAGTTAAATATATACATATAAATTAAAAGTACACCCTTACAGAATCTCGTCTACTGGTCCTCACTAATCAGAAAGGAAACAATGCTAGTAATTAGAAGCAAGTGCATGTTAGAGAAACAAGCAGAGGGTTTGCAGCGTAGTACAGGCGCACTGCCTGTGCATGGCTGTGCGTCGGACTGACCTTGCCTCTCTGATACAAAGCAGGGTTTTCGGCGGCTTCTGTTGTGGAGGCGGCTGGTGGAGTTCTCGCTGCGGTTGCAGGTTGCCCAGAAGTCCCCCGGAGGTGCTGTCCAGTCCCCCCGGTGCTGAAATCACGCCCGACCGAAGGACTCACGCTGCCCAGCCAATGGCGCTGGAAAATTTCCGCAATCGCTGCGTTTTGTGGCTGTCCATCCTTTTCCTTTCCTCCCTTTCGGTCCTCTTCAGCCTTTTTTTCTGGGCTCCAGTTCTCGCTTACTAGCTCTTCTTTTCTTGTTCTCCTTCGCTTTCTTTTGCTCTTTCGGAATTACGTGGAGGGGGGCGGAGGGCGGGGGGCGAGTTGTCTGAGGGAGGAAGAGAGCGCGAGAATGGGGGGGAGGGGGGCGGAGAAGAGAGTTGCTAAGAAGCTCTGCTCGTTCCAGCCTGGTGCACTCTGAAAGATCTGACACCCTCTGCTGATCTGCAGTAGCAAAAATCCATCTGGTGAGGGAATGCTGAAGGGAAAAAAAAAAAATCAATCCATGTACAGGGCAAGCGTTAAAAATGTGGGCATTAAAGCCTGTCGATCTACATAGACGTGTATTTTAAATGGATTATTTAATTCTTTTCGCGTTCTGCAAACTTTACCCTTTCATTTCCTTAAAGACCTCACAGACCCCACTAGCTCCAGTGTTCGGAAAGGAGTGCTTTTAAAACATTTATTTCCCAATGGCTTGAATAAAATTAGTGTCAGGGTGTCAAGCGAACAGCAATTTGAGGTAATTATACTGCACGCCATTTTCATCGGTGCTTTAAATGTATTTCTTCCTTCTTTGCGGCACAGTGTTTTATGCTATTTGATTTCTTTGGAACCTTTTTTTTTATTTTTTTGGCATGCTGAAAGTGGCTATTTGGAACATATATATTACATAATATCATAATTAGCTATGATTTTTTTTTTGCTGCAGGGTATATAATTTAGGCACATACTTTTAAAAACTTACAGAATTGTAGTCAATTTGATCATTGAGTGTTCGATTCTCTGATGGTATTTCTTGAATGTTATTTAAGTCTGCCGGGTGAAAACACAATGCATGCCCAAAAGCTTTCACTGAGAACCGGAAAAGGAGGGAGGGGGCAGGGAAAAATCCCAAGATGATTTGTGAGTGCTCTAAAAAACCCACTGGCAAGCAAGTGTGCCCCCAACCCCCACCGCACACACATACTCACACACCCCTCACAAAGTTTCCGCATCAGTTCGGACTAATTTAAAACGTGTGCAAGTAAATAACCAGTTGCATTCTGAGAGGAGGAGATAGAAATCTCTGGTCTCTAAAGCTCTGTGCGAATCCTATCTGCAGGTAGCCGGGCAGCTCCTCTTCGCGCAGACGCTAGTTGGGTCACTGCTGCTGGGGAAGCACAAAGATCAGGCTTTTTTCCAGTGCTGGAATCACCGTGTTCCTCAAACTTGGAGCTTAGAAAAATAAAGTAATATAAGCTTCTTGGACGAGAAAAAACGTGAACATTTTGCTTCTCAGAAGTCTGTGTTGCTGACTTTTATTATCAGCAAACGTTCCATCAAAATGCTCCAAAAAAATTGTGAATCTCTGTAGTATTTGGAATTTATATATTCATATATACAATAGATATATTTTTAATTGCTATTAAGTCCTTTCTTCAGCTGAAGCACAGAGAATATGTTTATATCACTTTCTTTTTTAATTAGGTCTTTTGTAAATTGTACAGCTGTTACAAGCCTACTAATATTTCTGTAAAAGAGCAAATATTCAAGGAAGTGTGCATTTTGAGAAGGCTGGGGAGAAAAATTGGGGGGAAATACTGGGGTTGAGGAAATCCCCAAAAGTAAGGAAGGTATAGAGGTGTTTAAAATACTTTTTTTTCTTAGTCCAATGCTAATTTCTAGGTGGATGAGGATAATTTTATATCCATGTATGTTTTCATATAATCAAATATTGTGTTGTAGTCCTCCTCTGGTGAAATTCAGTGGAGAGGGGGTGGGAATGAATGCTCAGGTCAGAGTGTGTGTGTGTGTGTGTGTGTGTGTGTGTGTGTGTGTGTGTAAAAGAGAGAGACCTTTTTTAGACATCGTACTATACTTCTGAAATAATTCTATTCTTATATAATTTGACCCCTTGCCACATGTAGAGACAGAAAGAAGAGCGTAATCAATTTGAAACCATTTTACTAAAGAAATGCTATGCAGTTGAGAACTACAGATGTGGAGGAGGATTTAAACTGAAGGAAGGAATATTTCTGTTTCTGTGTAAATATGACGCAGGTCTGAAACATGTTTGCCCTAGAAACCACCCCAAGAAAGGAAGACAGCCTTATGGTGTCTGTGATTGATAGGGGTAGGCAAGGCTCTGAAGGAAAGACTGAAAAATGCTGATTGTTTAGAAAAAATATATTGATGGCAATCACCTAAAATCACACTTTTAGCCTTAATTATCTATATGTTTGTTCAACTTACTGAATAATACCATCATGAGAAGACACCTCAAGCACATATTTAAGTTAAATGAAATGAACTTAGGTAACCTACAATTGTTATTCAGATTTCATCCTCCTCCCCACCCATTAAACTTTGCACCTTTCCCTCTTTATTTCCTGATTTCTTCTTCCCTCTTAAAGCACCAGTCACAATAGAAAATGTACAGTCAAGATCTTCCGATTCAGATATATTATATAAAATTTTTCTAATCTATCCTTTTCAAATAGTTTATTATTGTTGGACCCTAAGGAAAAAAAAATGTGGTAGTGCCCTAATGAACATCTAAACCTGAGACTAAAATATTAAGACTATAATATTAAGACTGTAATACCTACATGAAGGTATCCACTACAAAATTGCAAACAAAGAATAGAGACACACACACATAGAGTTCTATTGAAAATGGACCATCTACAATAACCTATCACAATTCTGAAAATATTAATTTTCATAATGAATGTATTTTAGAGACATGAAACAGTCTAGAAAACCACACCTACAAATCCAAAGACAAGTTATTCAAATATAACAATAAATTTCTTGATGGGAAACAAATACATATGGGTACTTATATGTGTTCTAAACATTTCTAATGCCTCAGGGGAACATTTCTTAGGTATGAATTTCTCTTAAAAGGGTTCTACTCTATCTATTTGAGCTCACATGAACTCCTTCAATTGTTTTGCCTCTCATAACAGATGATCTCCAGAAGAAGAGATAAAGGACACTTCAGACGACGAGAATTGATAATATTTGCTCAGGGCTATAGTTTCATTTCCTGGATGTGGCCAGAATGATTTCTATTTTGTCATTAAAGGTTTGTACATTCCTATTCTTCTTCAAGGAGGTTCTTCTTTCAAACAACAAAAGTTAGATATATACATCACAAAATGATTCAAATTATTGAAAATATATCAGTTAATTATTCATTTTTTACCAATTGGAATCAAATTTCCAGATATTTCTATATGTGGACTACATTTTTAAAATGAAAGAGTAGAATTTATAACAAACATGCATTAACTTTTATTCTTCAGTTTAGTCACTCATCATAATGTTCAAGGGTACTGTTTTAATTTTTAATTTTAAAAATAATACACTTTTATTTAATGAATACAAAATTATATATGGGAAGTCCATCTTTATTTTCCCTCATTCACATTATTTTTTATTCCAGAGGTAAGTGCTGATAACTGATTAGCAAATACTGAATTTGACATTATTGTCCTATTTCATAGATGTAGAAACTGATACTGAGGAATATTGAATAACAAACCATGATTAAATGATATCAGTTGACATTGTCAAGGTAATGAAACTACAGACTTATGAGGTAGGCCTTTACTTTCACTAGTAAGTGAAAGGTAGGCCTTTACTTTCACTATTAAGTTTCTAGTTGTTCTTAATATGTAATATGATTTATTACAGATAAGCTCTCTGTGGATCAGTTTCCTTACAGGAAAATTATGACATTGTAGTTTGTGATTTTTTTTATCCTTTCAAGTTCTTTTTTCTCTGAATCCAAAACTCTCTTAAAAATAATTTCAGAAAAGGTATGATGTTTTTTGCCTTCCTTAGACTTTTCACATTTGGACTCATGATAATTGTTACTATTTTTGCATATTCACTAGGGTTGGAACCCAAGAATTAATATAATAACCTGAGATGAGTCTACTACTATTCTGACCTACATTTCACAAGATAAAGAGGTCATTGGAATTTTTTTTCTTCTTGTGATAACAATTATAAACTAAGAAACAGGAACTTAGATCAAAGGTACCTGTAAACTATTAATAATATGCTTAGAACGTAATATTCCCCCTCATTTTTTATATTGTCTTTTTGTAGATTGTAAATAGTACTCTAGGAATGGGGTGCTAAGATAATGATCACATTACATGACTTCTGAAGGCAAAGCCAATAAAATATTTAATTTTTTATAATAAATTGATTCTTAAAACTTTGCTACTTTCATTTATCATCAATGAAAATAGCAGTCTCAGTAGAATACCTCAAAATATATTTATTTTTACCTTTTAACTTAAAATGTATCACTGTCTTATGTTTATGTCACTTTAAATTTTATATTTTAAATTTTAAATTTTATATGTTTGGCTATCTTGGAGCAGAACAATTGAGTTTCTCATACAGTTCTATTTGTCTAACAAATCTCATATGAATCACTATTTTGGACTTATTGACAAGTACATTGATTAAAATATTATTTCATGTGTTCAAAAATTCTAATTTATTCCTCTTATTTATTCAAAATTAGCAACCAATGTTTCACCTGGTAAAGAGCTATTTTTAGCTATATACTACACTATACTAGAAGTATACAGGATGAACATATATCTTTAGTATTGTTTATTACATTAATTGATGTCAAAGAGTATAGTTGTGAACACTTATTCTACTCTTTTCAATATGCTCCACAAAACCTTACAGGTAATCACTTAGAGGGAAAAAAAAAGTTGTTTTTGTGTTTCCTAGGAAGTATGTATTATGTTTTTAAGATAAAGAAATACATATTACAGGTTTTAGAAACACAGAAAACAGATTTTAGAAAACACATAACAAAAAATAAAATTGAAATCCACAGAGATTGCTATTATGAAAATGGACGTATACTTTTTCATATGCTTTTTGCACTTACATGTATTTTTGAACAATTTCAAAGTTATTAAACACATTACTTTGTACAAGATAAAATAATTCAATAAACTAATTTCACATTGTTGTATATTTAGTTCTTTTTAAATTTTTGCTTTCATAAATAATGCTGCAAAGAGCAACCTTAAACATAAATCATTGTGAATATCATTATTTTCTTATTATAAATTCCTAGAATTAGACTAGTCCATTAGTCTATTTTCTGTTGCTTAAAATAGAATACCTGAAACTGGGTAATTTATAAAGAAAAGGAATTTATTTCTTACTGTTGTGTAGGCTGAGAAGTACAAGGCTGAGGAGGTACATCTAGTGAAAACATTCTTCTTGGTGGAGGCTCTCTGAAGTGTCCCAAAGTGGCACAGAGTATCACATGTAGAGGGGGCTGAGTGTGCCAGCTCAGATCTCTCTTCTTCTTATGAGGCCATCAGTCCCATTCCCATGATAAAATGTTTATTCTTCAACCTATTAATTCATTAATCCATAAATGGATTAATCAATTCATGAGGGCAGAGCTCTCATTACCCATTTGCCACCTAAATGACCCACCTCTCAATAGTGCCACATTAGGGATTAAATTTTAGCTTAAGTTTTGGAAAGGATAAGTATTTAATCCATATCAAATTGCTGGATCAAAGGATAGGAAAAATATTAATACTTTTGATATAAATTGACAAATTGCTTTCCCAAAATTTTTGCCAATTGATACTCCACCAGCAGCAAATGACATTTACCTTTTCCCTAAATCCCTCCTAACACTATTATTACTTAAAATATTTTCTACTCAGTTCAGTACTTTTACAGTGAAGCCAATACTGACCCATTTACTTGAGCAAACTCAATTCAATTTCTAATTATTAACTGAGTACATTGTTTATCTTCCTCATTCCTCTTTAACTTTTAAGACATGCCTTGTTTCAAAATCACTTCTGTGAATCCTTTCCAGAGAAAGCCACCTATGCATCTCACTTTATTTCGCTTTAGTATATTCAAGATAAAACTACTAAATTGTGTTCTTTTAAAAAAAATCACTTGAAGGATTGATTCCTCAAAAATGTGTATCATTCTTGAAGGCAAAAATCAACTCCTTTGTCTTTGAATATCTAGCAGCAAGCAGAATACTGGGCACAAAATATGGTATGACATATATACTGCAACTGTGAAATAAGGCAGTGTGTAAGTGATAAATTAATTGGCATATATCACAAGGGTTAGAAAGCATAGAAACAGAATTAATTCATAAAGTATGGATCTGGAAAAGTGACACAATCTATGTATTATTTAGGTAGACTTTAGGTCTCATAAGTTCTATGCATAATGTGCACTTAGTGGATTTTTATCCTACATTATCATGCAAATATTTATCATTTTTTCTCTAGATGAGTTAATAACCTACATTTTATATATCTCAAAGAGTTAGAAAAGTACAATGCACCTGATCAACAACTAACAATATATGATGATGCTAATAATTGGAATGTGTTCCTGCTTTTGCAAGAGAAAGTGGTGAGGTTAACTCTACATTATTGATTGTACTTTTAAAACATATGAAAATAAAAATATTATTTGTTATTCTTTTAATCTTTTTAGAGTTGTGGCAAAATCTTAAAGAAACTAAATTGTCTTCCTTTCTTCTTTTTCATTTGTTAAAATTTCTTCTCTATCTCCCTCCCAATCCCACTAGTTATGTTATCATATTTGTTATATTCATTACTACATCTTTGTTGGGACTTATTTCAAGCCAAAATTTGACCATCTCTCTTTGAGAGTGTTCATATGATACACAAATAATCAATGCTTCATTTAAAAATGTATTATTTCCATATTCTAGTTTATGATTTTCTAGAAAAGGAATATGTTAAAATCATTTATCTATTACATAAACACAGGGACACACATGCATGCAATATACAATTATACACCCCAAGGATTGGATATCACATAATGCCTAATATGTGAAAGACACCAGAATGCAAAAATCTCAGATGGACAGTGGCACTATTTACATTTTCACTCTTGATTCCTCTATATGCATTTTGATTCAGAAGAATACATCTCTAAAGATTGTATTGTAGGCCAGTTAGAAAGATGCATTTAACAGAGGCAGAAGCCTTTTTGCGATGGCCAATAAATCACATTATGGAGGTGGCTAGTGTCTAATTGCCTGATGAAAAAAGTCAACACAACCTTTTTTAGATTTCTGTACAAGCACTATATGCTAGTAATTAATTATGATTTCAATATCATGAAAAATGGGAATCCTATGGGCATGTTGAAGTAGCCAAGGAGAAAGGATTAAATATTATTTATTAAAGCAGAAAACATATTATTTTCTAATTAGTTGAATTAGCAGTTCTTACACTTATGGTAACATGCACAGTTGACTGGAGCAGTGAAAATACCATAGGATTTGGTGTCAAAGCCAAGCAATCATACTTTGATGTATATTTTTCTTATGGGGAAATATCACCCCATTCCTAATAGTAGTCAAGTTTTCACCTTTTAAATCTTTTTTAAAGATAAACTACATACTATCATAAAGGATGAAAATGTTAGATACTCATTTCTCCAGATTTTGGAATGGCTCTCTCTTATTATATGACTTGGCCTGCCCAGTAGGACTTATGTTTCTGGATTTTGAAATTAGATCTATTGACACCAGGAAAGCGGAATAGAAGTATACCTCTAGTAATAGTAGGAAGCTCAAGCCCACTCTGGGGGGGTGGGGCTATAGCAAATTGGTTTGCCACTGGTCATAACATTAGTAGCGCCATCCTCGGTAGATGGGTACTGTGACATAATTTTAGCCAAATCTGATTATAGTACTATTTTTTTTTTCTATCCATATACCAAATTGTGTTCTCTCTGGTCTTTCTAGAGATTCTGTGAACTACCCAGTTTCCTTTCACTGAATGTCTTTTCTGACTGAATAAATCAGGAAATCTTGCTGACTTAAAATGTGAGTAGGACGACTGTGCATTCCTGTTTCCCCTGGAAAGTCCTAATTTATACTGGGTTTTTTTAGTGGTAAATATTAATAAAATAAAAATTCATTTCCCAAAGTGTCCAAATTCATATGATAATCATATTGTCAACCAAACAATGAGGACATCTCTCCCTTTTATAACATGTAAATGAAGATGATATAAATAGAGTACTAGCCAGTATATTCTAGGTATATTTAAAAATAGGATAAAAAACTTCAAATTCACAGATTTTGATCATGCCTGTTTCTATAACATATTTGGACATGAATCATTCATGTTTGGAGATGTAAAATTAACAAATCTCTTACATCAAAGTTGGTATAACTTACGTAGCATTCATGTATATAATAGATTTTAGATGGCACAGCATAGTTAAGCTCTATTATGATTATTGTTGTTGAAATAAGTATCTATAATTTTCACCAAGTTGAATATCCAAAAAAATTAATTCACTCATTTATATTTTAAGGAGTGATTTTGGAATGACAAGAGAATGAGAACAACCAGATTTATGTATATTTCCAGTGAAAAACTAGTTCTACAAAAAGCTGTAAGAGACCTAGGACCTATAAAAACCTCATGCAGTGCACATAGCACAATATCTACTATTCAATGACTTTTTGTTAAACAATATACAACTCCTACTGTTAAAATTTGCACATAGGCTGAGAGTTTATATTCTATCCTTGCCATCAGAATGTAAGATGACCCAAACTAACTTACTCGGGAAACTTCTTAAAATTAAATTTTATCTTAGACTGACTTTTAGATTTGGGAATTATTATGCTCAGAACAATTGGCAATTAAACATCTCTCCCATCACAGGATTTATCTTGGAAGCTGAACTCACAATGGTGTTATTCAAGAGATAATTCTGCATGGAACACTCAGAAAAAAAGAATTCATAACTAATGTACCCACATGAACCACTTCTCATATGGAAATTCTGACTATCCCTCAAATTCCCCCAATCCTTTTTCTAATGCTAGCTTATTAAAGATATATATACAAAAACATAGGTAATGAGGGTTAATTCTGAGACAAAGTTGGCTCAGTGTTTCAGAATATTGTGAATAGGTAGCAGAACACAAATTCATATTCAGTAATCTTATTTGAAAACCTAGAGTGCCACTTTGAGGATGGCACTGAGAAATAAGGCTTTCTGGCCTGGAGACAAGTTCAGCTTAACTTTAGCACTGTTCATTCATGTATCCAATCATGATATCTTCCAGGGACATCCTCTGAGGTGAAGTGATGTTGGCACCTTAGGTCACATGGTTTGCATAGTTCCCTTGAGAACATTTTTGTTATCATTTCTTATTCTACTTGTATCCCTGCAGCTAGGCCAGCTAGCTACATTCCTGTTTCTTTTCAGACAATTATCTATATTATAGACTTTTGTTTCTTTGAAAATACACACAGTATGTGGGTTTATTTTAAAAGTACACCACATATGCAGTTCTCCAACCATTTCAAGTTGAGGTTCATATCAAAATCACAGTAGAGTATCCTTTTCCTAGAATATTTGGCATTGCACAAAGTTTTTTTTTTTTTTTTCCCAATAGCTATCATGAAGCCTAAGGTATGATCTCATATCTAAAAGCTGACTTATATAAGTAAATATACAACTATATGTATACACACATATATATGTACCTGCATATGTGTGTATTTTCTGAATATGGTTTTCTCTTTCAAGTTGTTTCCCATTACTGTGATTTTTAGAAAAGTGACTAAATCTTCTTTAGCCGCATTTGTTTTTCAAAAATATTGTAATAAATACTCATTTTAGAGAAAATAAGATTCTGTAACATAGTAATGGATGAGTTCTACTATTTTCAATGTCTATTGAACATTCTCTGTCTGCCTTAATTTTTCCACTCATCCTTCCTCTTTCCAATATGGCACAGTTTGAAATTCTCACCTTATAAAACTCCATTGACTGGTATAGAAAATGTGTCAGTATATGTATTTCAAATATTATGAAAACTTTTGTGTAATACTTTATAGAGAAAATTCAGTAATAAAATAGCTGCGTTAAAAAGAATTGTGTGAAAGAGTTAACTAAATTTGCATTCTAAACTTACATAGTATTAATAACTTACAGGTTTTTTTAAACAAAGTTTTTGGTATAATAGCTTTTAATTAAAGAAGACAAATTTAGCAAAATCTTATTTTACAGTAACTTTCTAAAATGACTCTGGGGTTATTGTACACAGGCATTGATTTTTACATACCATTATAATTGACCTCATCTTATCTGAATGTAACTGAATTTAGTTTAATTGGTTATTTGTAACATTTATGTTTTTTACTTCCTTGAATTGTTTTTTTATTAGCATACAACCTGAATAAAAATAAATGTTATTGAAGAATGTGGCTATTAAAAATCTCAAATACTGTCACTTTGATTTTAAAATTAAGTATAAAACAATACATTAGGAAAAATTAGGGAAAATACAGGTCAAGTGTACTGCCTTATGTCCAGAATCCCAACACTTTGGGATGCCAAAGCAGGAGGATCACCTGAGTCCAGGAGTTTGAGACCAGCCTGGGCAACACAGTGAGATCCTGTATCTACACAAAATTTTAAAAAATCAGCTGGGTGTGGTGGCACATGCCTGTAGTCCCAACTACTTGAGAGGCTGAGGCGGGAGAATTGAGTGAGCCAGGAGTTCAAGGCTGTGATGACCTACGACCATGCCACTGCACTCCAGCCTGGGTAACAAAAAAAAAATCTGTCTTAAAAAAAGAAAAAAAAAAGTAAAAGAAGAAATATACAATAAATGTTTTTTACCCTTTCATTCTCCTCAGGTTTATTTGAGGGAATGTATTATTTTAACATATACTTCTTTAATTTTTGTTACTAAGTAGAATTTAAAAATATTTTATTAATAAATCCCACATATTCTACTCCTTCTGAAATTGGAAATAAATACATTAATTAAAATATAAAACATGAAAAACCTATAATTTTCATCAAAGTTGAAGTAGCTTTCACAATCTATGTTAGAAAGAGATTCCCTTCCCCAATTTGGGCTCATTATAACTAGCAACAGCACACATATCTGGCAAAAAGTTCACTATACTGCAGTCTTTATGGATTCCTCCTTAAAGCCTGTGTAAACATACAGCTTAATGAAAGTCTTCTTAGAGCAAGACTGAGCATTATTGGTTAAATAATGGTAGAAGCTTGTGAATGTGTTTGACAGCCCCAAATATAATAGAAAACTATTGCCCAGCAACAGGTTTTTATGCGACCATTTGTTAATAACATGATTTGGAAGGAAATTGATTTAAAGTATGTATAATTATTTATATTTGTTCATCAATTGGAGATAATTTTATGTGTATATCTATCCAATATTGAACAAATATGGATTGTTAAAATTTGAATTAGTAGTGGAAAATGCGTATTTGCAAGAGCAGTATTGTTTGAAAAATACTTAAAATGTCTTCCTAGGATAGGATAAATATAATATATTATATGGCTAATTTAAAGAGGATAATTTGAAGAGGAACTAGCTTTGTATGAGTAGCATTGTGTTTATAGCAGCACAATTCACAATTGCAAAGATGTGGAAACAGCCCAAGTGTCCATCAATACATTAGTGGATTAATAAAATGTGATATATGTATACCTTGGAGTACTACTCAGCCGCAAAAAACAATAGTGAACTAATAACCCTTGTATTATCCTGGATGGAACTGGAACCCATTCTTCTAAGTGAAGTATCACAAGAATGGAAAAACCAGCACCACCTTTACTCACCATCAAATTGGTACTAATTACCAACACTTAAACTCACATAAGGAAGTAACATTCATTGGGTGTCTGGCAGGTGGGAGGGTAGAGGATGGGATGGTATATTCACACCTAATAGGTGTGGTGGGCACTGTCTGGGGATGCACACACTTGTAGCTTTGAGTTGGGCAGTGCAAAGGTAATATATGTAACTTAAACATTTGTACCCCTGTAATATTCTGAATTTTTTTAAAAAGGCAAAATAAGAAAGAAAGAAAGAAGAAAGAAAGAAAGAAAGAAAGAAGGTGGCCCCTGACTAGCCAGTGACTAGCCAGTGTACACTAATTATAGGATTAAAGGATATGAGTGTAGTCTTGACGCATATTTTTTTTTCTTTTTTTTTTTTTAGACAGAGTCTCGCTTTGTTGCCCAGGCTAGAGTGAGTGCCGTGGTGTCAGCCTAGCTCACAGCAACCTCAAACTCCTGGGCTCAAGAAATCCTCCTGCCTCAGCCTCCCAAGTAGCTGGGACTACAGGCATTCGCCACCATGCCCGGCTAATTTTTTGTATATATATTTTAGTTGGCCAATTAATTTCTTTCTATTTATAGTAGAGACGGGGTCTTGCTCTTGCTCAGGCTGGTTTTGAACTCCTGACCTCGAGCAATCCGCCCGCCTCGGCCTCCCAGAGAGCTAGGATTACAGGCGTGAGCCACCGCGCCCGGCCTTGACTCATATTTTTAACAGTATTTCTTTACTATTTGGTTTTAGGTGTTTTTGTATTATGACTAATTAAAATATGGTATGTACAGAATGGTACATGAAACATTATAAAGGTAACGTATTAGTGATATTTGTGAAGATTATGTATTAACATGAAAATGCCCCTTATGTAAAATTTTAAAGTAGAATCTGAATTGTATATTCATATTATATATGTAATAGGTTTATCCTATGTTAAAATACATATTGGGAAATCTAAGAAGAAAATACAGCAAAATATTTATAGTTGCTGTCTTTGGGTAATAAATTTTCTTCTACTTTTCAGTACTTTTTTTAAATTTTCTTAAATATGTAGGTATTCATTTTATATCAAAAGTGTAAAACATAAATTCAATTTTCGGGGCTAGTTTAAAAATAAAGAATAAATAAACAGTTGGAGAAACATGGTGATTATTGCCTTAGTGATTAATAAGCTCTAATTGTTGTCTACCCAGGCCTGAGTTTAACATTTTCAGGTCCAGGCAAGATTGCAAACAGAGGTCCATGAACAATGGATCTAAATGTTTAAAAGTTATAAATCAAGTTTATAAACCATTAAATAAAGCATATTTGTTGATCAAATATGTATTGATTTAAGAAATTCTACTTAGTCAAAATGAAATTTAAAATTATACTTGTTAATAGAAACCAAACTAAAAAATAATGCAAAGCCAGAAAAAAATATATAGGTCATTTTATACCTATTCATTTTATACCTATACCTATTCATTGTGCTATTATAGGTGCTCTAGGTTTATTGTACAAGCATAATCAAGGAAAACAAAGTGGGAATCTGTTGCTTTGAAATCTAAATCTTTGTAGCCGGGAAAGCTAATTTTAAAACTTTTCTAAGGCCTGGCAAGGTGGCTGACACCTATAATCCAAGCACTATGGGAGGCTAAGGCCAGCAGATCACTCAAGGTCAGGAGTTTGAAACCAGCCTGAGCAAGAGCAAGACCCCGTTTCTACTAAAAATAGAAAGCAATTAATTGGCCAACTAAAAATATATAGAAAAAATTAGCCAGGCATGGTGGCACATGCCTGTAGTCCCAGCTACTTGGGAGGCTGAGGCAGAAGGATCGCTTGAGCCCAGGAGTTTGAGGTTGCTGTGAGCTAGGCTGACACCACGGAACTCTGGCCTAGGCAACAGAGCCAGACTCTGTCTCAAAAACTAAATAAATAAATAAAAACTTTAAAAAAAATCCAATACAGTATATGCTATTAAGTCAGATTTAATTCATTTAATATAAAATGTTTTGCATATTTATGTAAAGAATATTTAAATTAAAAGGAAAATGTAAAATATGAAAGTGATTCTAATTAAATTTAATACAAATTATATGACTATGCAATAATAAATGGATTTTGATCATAAGTACATTCATAAATCTTAAATTACATGTTGTAATTATTATACCATATATTTGATTTAGATTATGTAGGTACCCATTAAACTTTACTACAAATGGATGTTTAGTAAGCATATGAAATTTTTGCATTCTAATTTACCTGAAATTTAAAAATCAGAGATCGTTAGATATGTTAGTATACTTAAAGAATAAAGAAATT